GGGGAATGGGAGAAATGGGAATGGGAATGGGGCAATGGGAATGGGGGGAAATGGGAATGGGGCAATGGGAATGGGGCAGTGGGAATGGGAATGGGGAATGGGAAAATGGGAATGGGGAATGGGAGAAATGGGAATGGGAATGGGGCAATGGGAATGGGGAATGGGAATGGGGAATGGGAGAAATGGGAATGGGGAATGGGAATGGGGCAGTGGGAATGGGATTGTGGGAATGGGATCGTGGGAATGGGAATGGGAAAATGGGAATGGGAGAAATGGGAATGGGGCAATGGGAATGGGGAATGGGAATGGCAATGGGAATGGGGATGGGAATGGGAAAATGGGAAATGGGAATGGGGAATGGGAGAAATGGGAATGGGGCAGTGGGAATGGGGCAATGGGAATGGGGATGGGAATGGGGAATGGGAATGGGGGAAATGGGAATGGGAAATGGGAATGGGGCAGTGGGAATGGGGTAATGGGAAATGGGATGGGACAACGGGAATGGGACAATGGGAATGGGATCGTGGGAATGGGGATGGGAAAATGGGAATGGGAGAAATGGGAATGGGAATGGGGCAATGGGAATGGGGCAATGGGAATGGGGATGGGAATGGGAGAAATGGGAATGGGAAATCAGAATGGGGAATGGGAGAAATGGGAATGGGAATGGAGCAACGGGAATGGGGCAGTGGGAATGGGATAATGGGAATGGGGAAATGGGAGAAATGGGAATGGGGCAATGGGAATGGGGTAATGGGAATGGGAAATGGGAGAAATGGGAATGGGGCAATGGGAATGGGGTAATGGGAATGGGAAATGGGAATGGGGAATGGGAATGGGGATGGGAGAAATGCGAATGGGAATGGGATCGTGGGAATGGGGTAATGGGAATGGGGATGGGAATGGGGGAATGGGAGAAATGGGAATGGGATCGTGGAAATGGGATAATGGGAAATGGGAATGGGAAATGGGAATGGGATCATGGAAATGGGATAATGGGAATGGGGATGGGGAATGGGAAAAACGGGAACGGGGAATGGAAATGGGGGAAATGGGAATGGGAATGGGGCAATGGGAATGGGATCATGGAATGGGATAATGGGAATGGGGATGGGATTGGGAGAAAAGGGAATGGGGATGTGGATGAGAATGGGGATGGGGATGGGATAATGAAATAATGGGATAATGGGGATGGAATGGGAAATGGTAAAAATGGGAATGGGGTAATGGGATTGGGAATGGGAAAAATGAGAATGGGAATGGGAATGGGATAATGGGAATGGGAATGGGGAAGGGAATGGGGATGGGATTGTGAAAAATGGGAATGAAAATGGGAAAAAGGGGAATGGGAATGGGATGGGATTGGAGATGAGGATGGGAATGTGATCATGGGAATGGGAAAAATGGGAATCGGGATAGGAAAATTAAGAATGGGAATGGGGATGGGAAAAAGGGGAATGGGAATGTGAATGGGATGGAAGGGCTCACCAAGAGCCATTCCCAGGGCCCCACTGGCAGATCCTTGGCCAGGATTTCCCACCCTCCTCATCCCACTGGGATATTTCCACCCTCCTCATCCCACTGGAGCTCTTCCCACCGGGATTTCCCTGCCCGTTTCCCCCATCCATCCCCTCTGGATCCAAATCCCACTCCAGGGCCTCTCCCAGTTATCCAGGGACACCCCAATCCCTGGGGAGCGACCCCAAATCTCCCTTCATTCCACAGGAGCCTGGAATGCTCCGGGTGGGAATCCCCAGCTGATCCTATTCCATGGGAATTCCCAAAACTCATCCCAGAGCAACCCCAGGGATGAAACATCCCCACAAATTCCCTGGAAAAACCCCTCCAAACCCAGATCCCCTCCACGCAGCAGCCCCGCGGGATCTCCCGGCATTCCCGGCATTCCCACCTCCTCGGGGCTGAGCAGGAATTCCGGGGGCGGGTTGTAGGATTCCGCGTGGCCGGGCAGCGGGATTTTGGGAGCGGGCACGTGCATCTTGTGCCGGCCCAGCACGGAGTTGGGATCCTCCCGCGCCCACAGGTCGTAAAAAGTGGGAACGTTCTCCTTGGGCTTCCGGGGCTGGATCCAGCCCATCTTGATGGCGTGGACCAGCTTGGAGACCTGCGGAGCATTCCCGGGATTTGGGGAGGGCAGGGAGGAGAGGAGTTGTCCATCCTCCTCATCCCACCGGAGCTTTTCCACTCTCCTCAGCTTTCCATGGATCCTCCTGATCCCATCTGGATCTTCCCAATCTCCTCATCCCACCGGAGCTTTCCCATTCTTCTCAGCTTTCCATGGATCCCCCTCATCCCACCGGGATCTTTCCATCCTCCTGATCCCACCAGGATCTTTCCAATCTCCTCATCCCACCTGGATCTTTCTAATCTCAATCCATTGGGACCTTTCCATCCTCCTGAGCTTTCCATCCTCCCCATCCCACCTGGATCTTCCCAATCTCCCGATCCCACCAGGACTTTTCCACCCTCCTCATCCCACCAGGATGTTCCCATGCTCCCAGCTTTTCCAATCTCCTCATCCCATTGGGATCTTTCCATTCCCCTCATCCCATTGGGATCTTTCCATCCTCTTCAGCTTTTCCATCCTCCTGATCCCACCTGGATCTTTGCCATCCTCCTGATCCCACCAGGAACTTTCCAGCCTTCTCATCCCACCTGGATCTTTCCAACCTTCTCATCCCACCAGGATCTTCCCACACTCCCAGCTTTTCCAATCTCCTCATCCCATTGGGATCTTTCCATCCTCTTCAGCTTTTCCATCCTCCTGATCCCACCTGGATCTTTGCCATCCTCCTGATCCCACCAGGAACTTTCCAGCCTTCTCATCCCACCTGGATCTTTCCAACCTTCTCATCCCACCAGGATCTTCCCACACTCCCAGCTTTTCCAATCTCCTCATCCCATTGGGATCTTTCCATCCTCTTCAGCTTTTCCATCCTCCTGATCCCACCTGGATCTTTGCCATCCTCCTGATCCCACCAGGAACTTTCCAGCCTTCTCATCCCACCTGGATCTTTCCAACCTTCTCATCCCACCAGGATCTTCCCATTCTCCTCATCCCACCGGGATCTTTCCAGTTTCCCCATCCCACCCAGATCTTTTCCATCCTCCTCATCCCACCAGGATCTTTCCACCCTCCTCATCCCACCAGGATCTTTCCAACCTTCACATCCCACCAGGATCTTCCCACACTCCCAGCTTTTCCAATCTCCTCATCCCATTGGGATCTTTCCATTCTCCTCATCCTATTGGGATCTTTCCATCCTCTTCAGCTTCTCCATCCTCCCCATCCAACCAGGATCTTCCCAACCTTCTCATCCCACCAGGATCTTTCCAACCTTCTCATCCCACTGGGATCTTTCCACCCTCCTCATCCCACCTGGATCTTTCCATCCTCCCCATCCAACCAGGATCTTCCCGATCTTCTCATCCACCCAGATCTTTCCACCCTCCTCATCCCATCAGGATCTTCCCACGCTCCCAACTTTTCCATTCTCCTCATCCCACCTGGATCTTTCCAACCTTCTCATCCCACCGGGATCTTCCCAATCTCCTGATCCCACCTGGATCTTCCCACCCTCCTCAGCTTTCCCACCCGGATCTCCACCCGGAATTCCGGGCTCTCTCTCCCACCTTTTCCTTCTCCACCAGGGAAGGGATGAAGCTCCGTTTGTCCGCGGGCCGGTTGGTCACCGGGTGGATCCGCACCTCGTGGCTGAAGAAATCCACGGACGGCTGGAAAACCGGGAATGCTCAGCCCCCAGCCCGTATTCCCAGTGGGAATTCCACCCCCAGGGTCTCCCATGGGCATTCCCAGCAGGAATTCCATCCCCGGGGCCTCCCCGCGGGCATTCCCAGCAGGAATTCCATCCCTAGGGCCTCCCCTCCCACGTTCCCAATGGGAATTCCACCCCAAGGCCTCACCTCCTGCATTCCAGATGGGAATTCTGCCCTCATTCCCAGCAGGAATTCCACCCCCCGGGACGCACCTCCCACATTCCCTTCGGGAATTCTGCTCCCAGGATCTCCCCTTTCATCATTCCTGGTGGGAATTCAATCCTTGGGGCCTCGCTTCCCACATTCCCAATGGGAATTCCACACCAGGGCCTCCCCTTACAGCATTCCCAGTGGGAATTCTGCCTGATTCCCAATGGGATTTCCATCTCTAGGGCCTCTCTTCCTGCATTCCCAATGGGAATTCCACCGCCGGGACCTCCCCTTACAGCATTCCTGGTGGGAATTCTGCCCTCACTCCCAGAAGGAATTCCACCTCCAGGACTTCCCCTC